GCTGGGCCGGCGCCGCGGGGGAGATGGGGCTGGAGGATCCCTTGGGTCGGCCCCACGGGGGATATGGGGCTGGAGGATCCCATGGGTCGGCCCCACGGGGGAGGGGGATACGGGCTGGAGGATCCCATGGGTCGGCCCCACGGGGGATATGGGGCTGGAGGATCCCTTGGGTCGGCCCCACGGGGGATATGGGGCTGGACGATCCCTTGGGTCGGCCCCACGGGGGAGGGGGATACGGGCTGGAGGATCCCATGGGTCGGCCCCACGGGGGATATGGGGCTGGAGGATCCCTTGGGTCGGCCCCAAGGGGGATACGGGCTGGAGGATCCCATGGGTCGGCCCCACGGGGGAGGGGGATACGGGCTGGAGGATCCCATGGGTCGGCCCCACGGGGGATATGGGGCTGGAGGATCCCTTGGGTCGGCCCCACGGGGGATATGGGGCTGGAGGATCCCATGGGTCGGCCCCACGGGGGAGGGGGATACGGCCTGGAGGATCCCATGGGTCTGACCCCCAGGCTCTGAGAGGGGCCATCTGCCCCAGGTAAGGATGGGGATCCGGACGAGGGTGCTGCCCCCCCAGCCCCCTAACCTCCCCACCCCCCCCCGCAGGAGTCCTACGTCTGGAAGATGTACCAGGAGCGCTGCTGGGATTTCTTCCCCGCCGGCGACTGCTTCCGCAAGCAATACGAAGATCAGTTGGGCTAGAGCCGGCTGCGACCCCCCCCCTCCAGCACGGACCCCCCAGTGCCCCCTTGGGGTGGGCGCCAGGGCTAGGAGGCGGCTGGTCCTTGGGGGGGCACCGCTGCTGCTAATCTCCCCCTGTGACCCCTCCCCCCGGCAGGGCCAGACACTGACACTCACCAGCGGGTGGGGGGGCAGAGTGGGGGGCAGAGGCCAGGTGGGGGTAGGGCTGTCACTGACCCGCCCCCCCCCGGGCCCACCTTGATCCCCCCCGGTCGCTGCCCGTGGGTGTTCCTGGGGGGGGCTGATCCCAAGTGCCTTTTTATAGCTCCCCCCAGTGCTGGGGGGGGACTCGCTGTTGCCCCATGAGGGGCCCGTGCACGGAGGCTGCCGGACGCCCCCAAACCAGGGGGGGGGAGACGGGCCAGGGCCTGCAGGGGGCAGCGCCGTGCCCAACCCCCGGTTCCTGGTCAATAAACGAGAGGTGATTGATGACTGCACCCGCCTGAGCCGCCTCCTTCCTGCAGCTGTGGGGGGCGGCACGGCCCCCCCTGCACAGCCACCGCGCCCGGACACCTGGGTTCCATCGCTGGAGCGGGATGGGCGCCCGGACGCCTGGGTTCCGTCGCTGGAGCGGGATGGGCGCCCGGACGCCTGGGTTCCGTCGCTGGAGGGGATGAGCGCCCGGACGCCTGGGTTCCGTCGCTGGAGGGGGATGGGAGTCCGGACGCCTGGGTTCTTTTGTTGATCCCCTGGAGCAGGATGGGAGCTGGACGCCTGGCTTCTGTTGCAGAAGCGGCCTGGACGCCTGGGTTCTGGCTCTGGCCAGCCCCCCTCCCCCACCCCCAGACACACATGGCGCAGGGCTGGGGGGGTGCAGTACTGGGGAACCACCCAGCAGCGTAGGGGGGGTGCACACAGGTTGGGGGTGTCTCCTGCACTGAGGGGGCCCTGATTTCACTGCAGCGGGGGAGGGGTGGGGGGCTGCCCCCCTTTATCAGGAGGGGGAGAAAACAGCCAGGTCGGGATTTTCCTACTTTTTTGGGGCTGAATAATTACAAACACAGTATGGAAAAGGGGGTGAAACGGTGACACCCCTGGGGCGTGCTCAGCCCCCCCCAGTCCGTGCAGCGTGGGGACACAGCCCCCCCTAGTCCGTGCAGCGTGGGGGCGCCGGGGGCCGATTCTCCGTCCTGGCCCACATGGCTGGGTGGGTCCTTGGCCCCGGGGGGGGGGCACTCTCTGGGGAAGAGCAGCTTCTCGGGGGGTGAGTCCGACCCCCCCACGGGTGGTGCTGTCACTCCTGGATGTAGAGGTTGCTGTGGGTGTCGTCCATGGGGCGCGTTTCCAAGACGACGGTGCTGGGGGGGGAGAGAGTGGAGTCAGGCAGCAGATGGCACCTCACAGCCCCTGATACCCCCCACAGCCCCCTGTTCTCATGCTCCAGGGCCCAGAGGGTCGTGGCCATTGGATTTGTTCCCCCCAAAACCTGGCTAGTTGGGGGACCCCTGCCAATGGGTGCCAGGGGGGAGGGGGCTGACCCCTACCTGTGGGTGCCCGGGGGGAGGGGAGAGATCCTGCCTGGGGGGGCTGACCCCTACCTGTGGGTGCCCGGGGTGTGTGTGACCCCTATCTGTGGGTGCCCGGGGGGGCTGACCCCTACCTGTGGGTGCCCGGGGTGTGTGTGACCCCTATCTGTGGGTGCCCGGGGGAAGGGGAGAGATCCTGCCTGGGCGGGGTGGGTGCCCGGGGGTAAAGCGGGGGGTTGACCCCTACCTGTGGGTGCCCGGGGGGAGGGGAGAGATCCTGCCTGGGCGGGGTGGGTGCCCGGGGGTAAAGCGGGGGGTTGACCCCTACCTGTGGGTGCCCGGGGGGAGGGGAGAGATCCTGCCTGGGCGGGGGCTGACCCCTACCTGTGGGTGCCCGGGGTGTGTGTGACCCCTATCTGTGGGTGCCCGGGGGGAGGGGAGAGATCCTGCCTGGGCGGGGTGGGAGACCGGGGGGAA